CTTGCTGACCGGTGAGTGCCATCTAGCACAAAACCTAGGTTCAAGCGAGGCTTCCTGTCGACTGCCTCCAACCATCTAATAGCTTAACTTCTCCGATTAACCTGCTCTTTTAATAGTAATCAGTAATTTCTTATAACTATTACACCTTTAATCTTTGAATTATCCGTAATATTGGAGAATAATTTATTTAATATTTTATTCCATAATTATGCATGTAGTTGGTTGTAAAAAAAAGACAGCTGACAGTCTCCAAAAGCATCACGACTGATTGGTGTTTTGTACATACTTCTTCTAGCAAAAAACTGCTGTATTTGGAAAGCGAAGATGACAAGACTTTGACACAATTTTAGGTGTCGTAGAAATATTTTATCTACTGAATGAAAGGACGATAAGAAGAAAGAAAGAAAGAAAGGAGGAATGCTGTGTTAATCTTTACATTTTGTCATATTTAGATTCTGCTAACATGTAATCAACTGACTAACATTTGACAACTTAGCTTGACATCATCTCTGAATAGGTAGGTTACTAAAAATTGGTCAAAAACAATTACAACCAAACACTTTCGACTTTTCTTTTGATTATTTAGAGTAATTACATATGAGACTTCATGTTAGTTATTCACCTTCATGAATTTAAATACAGCAAGAATAACAATTTGTAGTATCACTTATTTCGTGGAGTTTCCATCACCTGTGTACATCCTAAAGAAAATTATGTATAGAACAATTTTAACATACTTGCAAATGTTACATTGTAACAACAGAAGACAAGGGAGCGTCAGGCAACAGATCGCTTATAGAGAAAATCAACACATATTTATAGATTTTTATGTACATTATTATTATTCGTTATTATTAGTAGAGAAACAGTGCCATCTGAGTGGCTGTCTCCTAGCTGTAAGTTAATCTGTCATCTCTTTTTGGCCGTTTCTTTGAAGGTCAGACCATATGTCTGCGACTCGTATCCGCCCACGCTAAGTCTCCTGTGATTGGTTGTTGAGTTAGCCTTTGTTCTTGTTGTTTCTTATCATGACCAAGATTTGTGAGGTAAGCATTGACGTAAATTACTGTCTACCAATTTCGGCTAACAAACAGCTCTCACCACAACACGATAATAGTTAATAAAAGGAGACACCACACTTAATAAACAGTGCTCGGAACATTATACTGGCATAGTTTTTAGCCAAAGAGTTCAAGTTTAGACAAAAATCACTGTGTGTGCATACAATGGTAAAGAAATTACGTAACAAAGACAAGAGGTGAGTAAGATGATGGGTAGCTAATAAACTGAGTAGCAATACAGAAAGTTCAAGTCAAATCATAGAAACAGTAGACAAGTAAAGTTTCACTGCAGCGAAGATAGTAGAGGTTAAAGCCGAAAACTACGTAATCAAACGAAAGAAAGGACAAAGACATCCAGTTACCAGGACGTTGCATAGAAAAGAATCACCAGTAGAGACTGTTTATCGAAAAGTTACTGAAAGTTAGTTTCCAAGTGATGGTTCACAGGGATTTGACTGGTTACTGGTCCGACCACGAGCTGACATCGGGCAGAGAACTATTGGAAAAAACCTGGGAGTACTGAGCAGCGATTTCATCTCAGTTTATTGCAATGATATAAGGGTTCTCACATTTTCATTGTATGTACTGCCCTTTATATTAGACAGAAAAAACATCAATTTCATACAATGATTCCCTTTTATAAATTTGAACAAAGAAAGAAGAAACATTGGCTCAGAATAATCTGGATCCATTTTATTTCGCCGGTTCTCACCGGCTGTGTACAACCTTTGTCCATTAGCAAGCATACTGTCAGGGCGCCATAGTGAAATAAGGCTTTGCGATTTACACGGTGTCTAAAGTGTTACGACATATATATATATATTTTGATAGCGAGAAGTTTCTTGAAAAAAATTTTTATTAACACTTGTGTTGTTGGGTTGGTAACAAAAAAAACTAGCAATAGTTACGTAATTAGGTAAGAGAAGATCAAAATTTTGGTGCACATGAGGTCAGATGAGAAGTTGATGATGTAATACAGTGAGCAGAACTCAGAAGATCAAGAAAAAGATATCTCTTAAGAGAGTCAAGGGAAAAATAAAGGGAGGGGGTGGACTGAGAAGGTAAGCTAACAAAATTATCAAAATTGGAAAACAAAGAGTTACTAAGAGGTGTTGAGTCGCCAGGGTAATTGAAGTCCAACAACGGATTCATTTTGGACACATAAATCAGGCTTCAGTTGTTTTATTGCTATAGCTTCAGAAAACCTGAGAAGACTTGAGGTACTTTTTGTGTTAATTATTTTGAATGATTCCAGCACATCTACTCGGTATCCTGTGTCAATCAGGTGTTTGGCGATTGAAGAGCTTAAACAATTGGGTCTCTTTAACTGGAGCCTCCTTGGTACATGTTGGCAGAATCTGACGTAGGTCTACCTCTCTGTTTTTCCAATGTAACTGCTCCGGCAGATACATGCGAATTGGTATACACAGTTGGAAGTAACATGTGAGGGGTACATGTCAATCTTTGACTGCATCAATGAAGAGGTTGTTCGGCATAGAGACTAATAACGCTGCAGGATACGTCCTAGATAGGGCTGTGCTTAATCTTTTATTTACCGTTTTCATAATGTCGTTCCCTTCGTAGTCGCGTTTGATGAAAATAGGCTTCCTAATGACTGTAGCTCTATCAAGCTTCTTGAGTTCATTCTTGCCATATTTGTAAATGAAACTTTGTGGGTAACCATTTTCTTTCAAGCATTTTTCAAGAAGCATTAGTTCACTGTCTAGTTGGTTTGGTGAACATATTCTCTTCACTCTACAGAAAAGCGTTTTCACCAGCGTTCATTTGTGTCTGTTGAAACTCAAGTAAAGACCAATCCATGTGTCTTTACAATATACAGAGCTTTCCAGTGTCCCGTCATATTTTCTCTCCAACATTACTTCCAAAAAATGGAATTTTTCATCATCTCCATGCTCCACCGTGAAAGTGATGCTTTTGTGTACATTGTTGAAAGAGTATAATAGAGACAAAGCGTGACTCAAATCACTGAATACAATGAATGTGTCATCAACGTATCTATAGTAGGCTGTTTTTTCGCCAATCGCACACTTCAGCTTTGTCTGTTCCAGATCGGCCATAAATTATATCAGCTAATATCGGACCTCAGGTTTTTCTAACGTTCGCACTAATTTTGAGGAAGTCGACACACATCCACTCTAATCTCAGTCTACAGTATATAAGCATTTCACATTAGGTAATAAAACCGCGAATAACCATGAAGTATATAACTCCAATAAGCACCTTAGTTGAATAACAGCTCTACAGCAGCATCCAGTTTAACAATAATTAGTAGTTTCCATGACTTAGTTTGTAGGGAATTCATTTTTTCTATAGTTTGACTACAGATTGATACTAGCCAGTGGTTGGCCACAAGACAAAGCTGCCTGCAGTTCTAGTGAAAAGCCGTGGCCAGTGAGGCTCATCCGGTCATGAGTGAGTACAAATACTCATCACGGGTGATATTAGCATTCAAATCACGAATTGGTAGGAGTTAGAATTTATGGGATGGCCACTGACTCGGGTACCAGTGACTGGGCGGTCTACGAGCTCTCCTTGTAACAGGAAGGTCCTGGGTTCGAGACCCAGTCGGTGAGTACGTGTCGATGATGAATCCAAAACTAGGATGAAACAACTACCCAGTGCTCCCCTGTAATTTTCAATGGTTCTTTCACTGATATCAATCTGTAATCAAACCTGGAATAGTGAATGGTGACCGCATCGACAATCTAACTCGTATATATAGTAAAAATGTATGCTTAATGTGAGAAGGGAAGTGTGCCAAATATTTTGTAAAATATGCATAACCAACTGGTAGCTATTTGCAGCTTCATTAGGAAAAGGATGGAGAAATAAATGCATTGGGTATTGTAAGAGAATAAGATTTAGATTTTCAACTTCAATGTGAAGTCAGTGCTACTTACCATACGGATCAGACAGAGACTTGGAGCCACGCCGCGTCACGAAGGCCATTTCGAACAAACTACACACCTTCAACAACAGTTGTCTTCGCTCAGTACTAATCAAGATCAAGTGGCTGGCCAGAAAAGATCACCAACAGGGATCTCTGGCAATGAACGAACCAATCCAGCAGGGACCAACTGTGCAACACATTTGCAGGAAGAAATGGAGGAGGTGGATTGGAGGCCATACTCTGAGAAAACAAACCATCAAATGAGTGATATCACACGCCAGGTCATCACTTGAGTGGAATCCCAATAGGAAGCGGCAAGTTGGTCGTCAGTGAGAGGGTGACATGGAGGAGGAGGTCATGTGAAGAAGAGAAGAGAACGTGTGAGAAGACGTAGAGCCGGGTGAAAATGTTGGCGGAGAACCGAATGCAATGAAGACGTGCGGCTGAAGCCCTATGTTCCTCTAGGAACTAAAGGAGTCAACAATAAGATGATGAAGTGAATAAACGGATTCATAAGTTCATAAGTTCAAAAGTTCACTTATTGAAAATGCTAAACCACACTATATTGTCAATAATTCCCATTCGCAAGAATATCAGTGTATAGCATAGGCACATTGAAGTTCCTCTCCAGACTGTAAAATACAATACACGACATAGTAATCCTATTAGAAAGAAATACAACTATTATTCGACATATTTTATATTTATGATTTCTCAGGTTGATGCAACTTATGTAAACTGATTGTGAACAATCTTGTGAACTGAATACCTTTTCTAGCTAGAAAGAGTGGATGTGAAAAGACATTTGGAATGCAGAGTAGGCATCAAAGAATTAAGCAAGTGTTAGTATAATTTCATTGTTGTGTTTCTAGACTCATATCAGTTCCTACTGGAAAACGCACCGGTGCACAGATTCGCAAGCAATACTACTGTAACGACAGAAGACAAAAGCCAGACAACAGATTGTTTGTTGAGAAAATCAACACATATTTAAGGACTTTTATGTACATGATTATTAGCGTTCTTAATAGCAGAGAAGCAACGTCTTCTGATTGGTTGCTTTCTTGCTAAAGATTATTCTGTCATCTCTTTGTGGCCGTTTTTCAGAAAGTTAAGCCACATATCGGCGAATCGTATTTGCATACGGCAAGTCTGCTGTAATTGGTTGGTGAGTTCCCCAAGGTTAGTTAAGCTTTGTTATCGCTTTTCTAATAACCCTGATTCCGGACGTAACACTGACGTAAATTGTTGTTTACACTTTCGGCTTGTTCGCAGCCAGGTTTCACCAAACTACCACTGCTACCACAGTCAACCCTGGCGTAGACCACAATATGAAAACGACTTTTACATCTACCTTTAGAGTAAGAAATCAGCTGTATTTCACCATGCCAACAATAAAAAATAATTTATGAAGTGTAAAAATACATATATATATATTAACATTTTATTTACAAAGATATCAGTACAAAGTTATTTACAAATATTAAAAATAATGCTTTCTTTTCATCTGAATAATTCACGCAAAACATTATATGCAATTCGCAGTCATTGTGATACGAAATCAACAACTAGTCAGCTTATTGCGTAACAGTCCCACGTGCTGTTTTGAATCTGTCATACATTGAAAACAATTGAACTACTATAATCTTTCCGGTGTGTTCACTTCACTATTGTTATTGTTGTCGTTATTATTACTATTATTATCATTGTTAATGCCGGTAGTAGTACCACTAACTACGATCTCACCAAGGGTAGTAATATTGTTGTGATTATTGCTATTATTATTATTAGCATTATTGTCATTATTATTATTATTATTATTATTATTATCGTCATCATCATCATCATCATCATTAACGGTGCTGACAGTACCATCACCTACTACAGCCTCATCGAGGGCACCATCATTGTTATTATTATTATTATCGTTACTACTATTAGTATTACTATCGTTATCATAATAATTATTATTATCACTATTATCATAACCAACATTGTTGCACAACCAATTCACACAATGATGATTGACATCGAATCGAAGTGTTATATGACTGATTAGAACTGTAGCTAAATCTCGTAATTCCACTTCTTCATCTGAAAAAATGAAACAAACCAAAATGGAGGAAGAACAATATACAACTGATGGAACAACATTGGGTCACGGATAATTTATACTTTGTATATATATATATATATATATATATATATTGAATTGATTAATCACTAACATCGAATCACTGTCACCAACAGACATACTGTGGAGCTGTGACTCAGTGATCTATGCGCACTCAACTTCCAACCCAGTGACTCGCTGGTGTGACAAAAGTGAATCGTTTGCCAATTCCCCCTTCAAAGATCGAATTACAAGATTTCTATTTACTTGGATGTCTGAACTAACTTTGTAGTCATTATCCTCTTTTCTCCTATTGCTGGTGTTACATGTTTGGAGGTAATTGCCGGGAAGCCCTTCAAATAGGTTTCATGATAGTTGGCGGCACTCATCAGTCAGCAAGAAGTACTTGCAATCTCGGAGGAACTCACGTGCCTTCTGAGACTCAAACCTGAGTCACCCAGTGAGTGCTGTAGTCAGAGACGTTAACCCGCTGAACAATTCAGGCTCACAATTGGCCTCCTGTACGACCGACTGTATTAGTTGATATTTTAACTGGAAACTAGTTAGTAACTAGTAACGTTTCTCACTGCACCACTGGGTGACGCGAGTTCGAATCTCAAAAAGGGGACATGAGTTCTTTCAAGGCAGTTGCAGATACGCCTTGCTGATTGTTGAGTGCCAACTAGTACGCAACCTACGACCAAGTATGGATTCCTGTCGATTGCCTCCAACCATATAACACCAACAACTCGAATTGCACCGTGATAGTGAGCCACCTAGTGGCATGGTGGCCACATTGCAAACTTGGCCGACTGATAGAATTCAGTTTGCACCAAAGATAGGACTAGATACACACAAATATTACGCTAGTTACTGACTAGTGTCCAGTCAAAAATATCTTTTCTCCTATTTTGTATATCATTATTCTGACATTTGCATATTATATGTTCACTTGATGCATACTATTCATTTGTCTTTGTCCCTGTTTAATCTCAGGTTGTGAGATACACTGATAATGTATTGTTTCTCGATGTGAGTCCGTTTGAGTGGATTAGGGTCATTTTCATCGTGGACTCTCTACGGGAACCATTGGTGTCTGATTCCTATGGACAGTTTTGATTCCTCCCATCTTCTTCAGAATATTCTACTGGGTTCTAATGAAACTTCTTACGGTTGAATTTCGGCTAACTAATTTTGTCACACAGTACTTGGAAAATTAGCTGGACTGTGTAGCTTCCTAACACTGTTAAGTTTATGATGTTATTATTGTTGTTGTGGAATAGAAGCATAAAGATCTATCGACGAATAATCGTCTTTTCGGTGTCTTCGGAAGGAAGTTTCGGACAGTTAAACAGTAGGGTGCAAACATCGGTTTCCTGAATTCAGAGCACAGGAAGTCATTAATAGTCATTATAGAGGACTTGAATCCAGTTACACCAAACCAGGTAATATCTCATTAGCCCTCACAGAATAGGTGTGGTTTATTGTCAACTGCCTTAAACAGCAAGTGTTTGTTGAGTATTATACAGCTATTACTATTACTCAAGTGTTGGTTTGTAGGGATTTGATTGATTGGTTACAGGATTTCATCATGAAAATGACAGAACCATTGTAAAACCAGATGGGAGTACTGGACAGCTGTTTCGTCCGCCTAGTTTGCGACTCTTGAGCAGTATGCACCCGCCGTCAGGGTTCGAACCCAGGAACTTCTGGTTACAAGGCCAGCGAGTTCGAAGACCATTAAGCTACAGGGACCCAATCCAATGGCCAGTCCATATATTGTAACTTCTGAGAATTCACGACATAGTTCAACCGCTAGCCAATGTCTTCGGTAAGTATTTGTCCTCACACCCGAACTCGTGCACCCCACTGGTCACGACTTCCCACTAGAACCCCAGAGTAACTACCTACCTGAATAGGGTCAGTCGCCAGTATCTCATCGATATTCAAGTATTGATTTGTAGGGATTTTATTGATTGGTTCTAGGATCTCATCATGAGCTGAAATTAGTTAGAGAACCACTGCAAAACCAACTGAGAGTACTGGACAACTGTTTCGTCCTAGTTTGGGACTCTTCAGCAGTACGTACCCATTGGAGTTACTAATAATATTACTACTGGTTGCGATAATAATAGTAATAACTGATACAAAATCTCTTCCCCATCCCATTAACATGCATTCACACACACACACACACACACGGACACACACATACACGGACACACGGACACAGTCATAAGAAATATGCACTAGCAGTCTTTGTTTGGTAATACATCAATCCATTTCCAGTATAATACGGACCAATTTCGGTCCTCAATGTAATATAATAATAATAATGATTTAACTGGTTTAAAGTTCAGTTTAATGATAAACACATGCAAAATCATCTGCTGATTGCAAGATATGCAAAAAACAAAATAATATAAAAATCTAAAAAATAAATAGGCGTAAATAATCACACACCTAGTGTTGTATAGATAATAATAGTAGTACACAACCTCCACACACACACACACACGTGCACACATGATGTACCCAAAAATAGATAGGATGAGAAACAACATGAGAAACAATGAACAAAATAATGTTTTTATGCATTTCAGTAATAATAATAACTGCACATATGATAATATCAACCTTTAATTACCAGTGCATTGACTGGGAGAAAATACAGTGAAGGTGGCTATTAGCAACAAACGGCCTTAAAAGCCTGTGATTGCTGTAAAGGGAATGTAGGGAAAATACATTGCACTGATCAAGGCACTACACTCGAACTCATGCAGCCAGGTGAGGGTTTACGGTGAGTTGTCATCTGAAGTGGTGACAACTAATGGTTTGCGTCAGGGATGCCCATTATCCCCTTTTCTATTCAACTTCATCATAGATCTACTAATGGACTTAACCCTAAGTGACTTCAGCGACTCAGGGATTGACCTGCCACCAGGGGATAATCTCGTCGACTTGGAATATGCAGACGATATAGTCCTTCTAGGCGACGACTCTGACAAAATGCAGAGTCTTCTAAACACCTTGAGCCGCAATCTACGAATGTTTGGCATGCGATTCGCTCCCGCCAAATGTAAGATGATGTTACAGGACTGGACTAGACCGACTCCTAGATTAGAAATAGGAAGTGAAGTGGTAGAGCACGTTGACCGCTTCACTTATATGGGAAGTACCATCAGCCCCAACGGGCTGATCTCTGACGAAATCTCAGCACGAATACAAGGGGCTCGTTTCGCATTTGCCAGTTTACGCCGACTCTGGCGTAGACGAGATGTTCGACTATCGACCAAAGGGCGGGTGTACTGCTCATCAGTCCGCTCCATCCTCCTTTATGTCTGTGAGACCTGGCCACTGAGAGTGGAAGACCTGAAAAGATTAGCTGTCTTTGATCATAGGTGCCTGCGTTCTATCTCCCGTGTAAAGTGGCATAATAAGGTGAGCAATATTGAGGTTGGGCGTCCAGTGCTGGGTATGTGATAGGAGAAATCAATCGACAAGGTTGTGAAATTACATCGACTGAGATGGTTAGGACATGTGTTATGCATGCAATCCCTAATCATCTCCTTTCTCGACGGGCAATGTTAGCTGACATAGGGTCAGGCTGGAAAAGAGCTACCGGCGGTCAAACCAAAACATGGCTTCATCAGTCAATGAAATCTACAACAGTTAGTCTAAGTCACGTAGGAAGGTATAGACTTCCTGACTGGTTGGGGTCCTCGAGAGGGTAAAAACCAATGATGGCAGGAGACAATTCGTGATATGGCTCAAAGTGATCGTCCTCAATAGCTGGGAGAGCTGCATCCACCACTTGTGACTTATAATATCCAATGAAACTATATTGTTCTTCGTTATTACTATTCGTTTGTCTCACACCTCTGTTTCCTGCCTCTAATATTCATTTCTTCAACTTTCTTCTCTTGCTTTGCGTGCTACATGGAGAGAGTGTGGAGACTTGAACCGCCGCACATAGGCGCAAAGTTCCATTTTGAAAACTCCTGGACTTCATGTTGTGTTTATTTGTGTTCCCTTGACGTCTCCCATGTATCTCCACAACGGTTTATCGTTTACCTTCTCTGAAATCAAATGTATCTCCCTGTTATTTGATGTGTTATATGCCGATGAACGTCTCTCTATATATACAGTACTGATATATCTTATCAGTAGCACTTACCACAATAGCAAAATCTTCAAGTTAACTATAATTCTTTATCACCTTGATAGTGTGAAATATTCCCATATTATGAATTAAAAGTCAATCTGAACGAAGAATATTCTTTTCAATAATTTCCCTTCAAGTTCTTACAATTATAAAATATAATATTTATGTTGTCGTCACAATAAAATGGCCAGTTATGCGGCGGATACATTTTTTCTTAACGTAGAATAACAGATTGGTGATGGGGTGTCAAAATAAATAGTCTTATTTGTGTGACAAATGTGCTAGGCTGAAATCGATTACAAAATATTGTAAAACAGGAGACAATGGTGGTAATTAATCATAATAGATTTGCAGAGTGTGGGGTAGGAAAATTGACAAGTCAGTTCAAGGTTATAAAAAGGTGTCAGGTGAGTGGCTATTACAAAGTGGTCTGTGTTAAACAGGAGATAGTAAGACTGCAATGAGAGGTTCATAATGAAATAACGATATGTTAAATGAAACAGGTAGAGGTATATATTGAGAAAAGAGATAATATCACCAATAATAAGTCCGGATAGTATAAAGGGAAAATTCGATAGTATTTAGAAAATGCTTGCATGAAGGGCATATATTATGACGATTAATAATAATTGTAACAATAAGCAAAGGAAAACAAACGAAGAGGGTTAAGGGGGAGAGGAGCAGTCTTGGTGAGAACAATAATCCTCAGTCCAAGTTTGGCCACGGTAAGAACAGCGTCTGGACGTGTTCTTTTTAGATACAAAGTTCCGGTTTAGTCGATCTTATTGCAACACCTTCAGCTAAGTGTAGGAGACG